TCCTCCCCTCTCCCTCATTCCCCTACCCCCTGCACCACCTTGTGTTAGATCATCTACTGCTTTCGAATTGAGTACACTGGATTCTTGCTTCTCCATTCCTGCGATTGTTTGGGGTGGGGGGGACAGAGTCTCAAGTGGGCACCCTGGGTACAGTGCCATGGCATCATAGCTTACAGGAACCTCCAACTTAGCTCAAGCAATCCTCTTGCCTCAGTTTTTCTATTTTTAGTATAGACTGGGTCTCGCTTTTACTTAGGCTGGTCCTGAACTTGTGAGTTCAAGCAATCAACTCACCTTGGCCTCCCACAGTGCCAGGATTACAGGCATGAACCACCATGCCCTGCCCTGTGATGCTTTATTAAGAATGCATTCTTCACTCAATCCAGGTTAATACAAAAGATGTAAAGTTTCTATCTTTTTAATGGCTAAATAGTATTCCATGGTATACATGTACCACAGCTTGTTAATCCATTCCTGAGGCATGGATTGGTAGGCATTTAGGTTTTTCTACATTTTGGTGATTGTGAATTGAGCTCCAATGAACAGTCTAGTGCAAATGTCCTTATGATAAAAATGTTTTGTTTTTTCTTCTGGGTAGATGCCTAGTAAATGGGATTGCAGGATCAAATGGGAATCTAATTTGAGTTCTTTGAAGGTTTTCCATACTTTCTTCCAAAAAGACTATATTAGTTTGCAGTCCCCCTAAGCAGTATAAAAGCATTGCCTTCTCTCCACATCCACGCCAGCATCTGCAACTCTGACTTTGTGATGTGGGGTTAGGTGATATCTCAGGGTGGTTCTGATTTGTATTCCTCTGATGATTAGGGATGATGAGCATTTTTTCATGTTTGTTAGTTATCTGTCTGTCTTCCTTAGAGACAGTTCTATTCATGTCCCTTGCCCAGTGATATATGGGATTGTTGGGTCTTTTTATTGATTAATTTGAGTTCTCTATAGATCTTAGTTATCAAGCCTTTGTCCAATTTATAATATGCAAGTATCTTTTCCCATTCTGAAGGTTGTCTTTTTGCTTTGGTTACTATCTCCTTAGCTGTATCAAAGCTTTTCAGTTTAATTAAGTCCCATTTATTTATTTTTGATGTTACAATTGCCACAGAAGTCTTCTTCATAAAATTTTTCCCCAGGCTGGTATCTTCAATGTTTTCCCCACACTTTCTTCTGAGGACTTTTATTGTTTCATGCCTTAGATTTAAATCTTCTATCTATTTTGCATCAATTTTTCTAAGTGGTGAAAGGTGCAGGTCTAGTTTCAGTCTTTTACATGTGGATATCCAGTTCTGCCAGCGCCATTTATTAAATGAGGATTCTTTTCCTGAGTGTATGTTCTTGTTTGGTTTATCAAAGGTCAGGTGGCTGTAAGATGATAGTTTCACCTCATGGTTTTCTATTCAGTTCTAAAGGTCCATGTCTCTATTTTTACACCAATACTATGTTGTTTTGATCATTATAGCCTTGTAGTATAGCCTAAAGTCCGGTATGGTGATGCCTCTGGCTTTGTTTATATTACCAAGAATTGCCTTGGCTATATGGGTTTTTTTCTGGTTCCATACAAAAACAAAGAATTATTTTTTCCATATCTTTAAAGTATGATGTTGATATTTTAACGAGGGTTGCACTGAACCTATAGATTGCTTTGGGAAGTACAGTTTAATAATGTTGATTATTCTCAGCCATGGGCATGGTATATTCTTCCATTTGTTACTATCTTTTGCTATTTCTTTTCTTAGGGTTTCATAATTTTCTTTATAGAGGTCCTTCACCTCTTCTGTTAAGTAATATGTAATATTCCTACATATTTCATTTTCTTTGAAGCCACTGTGAAGGGGACTGTGTTCTTAATTAGCTTCCCATCTTGGCTGTTATTTGGCATATAACAAAGGCTACTGATTTGTGAACACTGATTTTTATATCCTGAGACATTACTGTATTTTTTGATCACTTCCAGGAGTCTTGTGGTGGAGTCTTCCAGATTCTCTAAGTATAAGATCATATTGTTGGCAAAGAGGGAGAGTTTGACCTCCTCTCTCCCCACTTGGATGCCTGCCTTTTATTTCTTTCTCTTGTCTGATTGTATTGGCTAGAACTTCCAGCACTGTGGTGAACAGTAATGGTGATAGAGGACAACCTTGTCTGGTTCCAGTTCTAATTGGAAAAGCTTTTAGTTTTACTCCATTCAGTAAAATATTAGCAGTGGGTTTGTCATAGATGGCTTCAATCAGTTTAAGAAATGTGCCACCTATGCCTATATTGTTGTTTTTCTAATTAAAAAAGGATGCTGAATTTTATTGAATGTTTTTTCTCCATTTATTGAGAAGATTATGTGGTCTTTGTTTTTGCTTCTGTTAATATGGTGAATTATGTTTATAGACTTACGTATGTTAAAGTATATTTTCTAATTAGATGAAATGTGAGCATTTCAAAACTTCAGGCTCATGGTACAGAAAGGAAACATAAAAAATGTATTTCCTTATGGTATAATTACCATGCAATAGTTCCCCCCAAATTGTATAAGGCATATCTGGAAAGTCAAATGCTTTACATAAACCCAGAAAAGCTAGAAAAATCATAATGAATAGTAAATATATAATAGAAAGTGTATAATGAGAAAGTTGTTTCAAAGAAAAACAATTGAAGAATGTGCTTTCTTCTAAATATACACATTTTAGCTGATATTAGTCCAAATCTAAGACTAGACCAATTTACAGTAGATATCTTTTCATATTTCAAGAATAGAAAGCAAGCAACCACAAAGATGTCAATATTATCTAGGAAAATCCTATGATGTATATTTTTGTGTATGTGAAAGAATTATCTATGTGATTATAAATTACTGGGATAGTTTGTTGAAATTACCAAAAATCCTTATTTGGGCCCCCAAAGCCTAATTTACTAACTATTTTCAAGTATTTTCTATGTCTCTAATGTATCTTAATGTATCTTACTAATCCAACCTAGTATTAAATATCTTTTGTTTGAGAAGCTTCTTCCCATGTGTAGGCTTAGTTTTTCTTACTACAATAAATCAACAAAGCCAAGTGGAATTCATCAGCCCTTAAGTGCAAAAATAATTTAAGTGCAAAAAATGATGAAATTATACAATATTCAACACATACAAAGAGTATTTTATTGTACTATAGATATATTATAGCTAGACTACTCTAGCTATTGCTGCCTTAGACACCAATAGAAAAAAATTAAAATTCATTGGTAACATTGAAGTCTAATGCCTGTGTAGCTTTGCATTTTTACAATTTCATAACTATTGAAGTATAATAAAAGTAATTCACAAAAAAGCATAAATTACAGAGTAAGTCAGACTAATATTCAATTAATGATTTTTGTTTTTAACAGCAAATATTGCCTGACAATGCCATTAAATCACTATATTGATCTAATCTCTTATTTCCAAACAAAATGTCAGATAAAGCACCTTACCTCATTTCTCATGATCCTCCAAAGATTCAGTGTAATTCGGCCAACAATATTTATCTCACTCATTGTATCTGACCCATATTCATCTCTTTCAGCTGCAAATCTGTTCTCAATTTTGTCATCTATAGAAATGAGTAGAGAATGTATCAGGGCTTATGGAAAACAAATTTTCAAGCAAATTATGACAAAGAAAATGATATTAAAAATTACAGATGAAGATCAAAGGTAAATGTAATTCACAGTGTATTTTATACTGGATTTAAGAATACTCATTATTTTGACTAAAAAAACTCCAATTTTCTTTCTTACATTAAGGAAATTTATGAAATACACCTGAAATCCCTCCCCTCTTTCCCTCTCTCTCTCTCTCTATATATATATATATATTTTATTATTAGATCATATTTGTGCACATTAATTCTGTCATGGGATACAGTGTGTTGTTTCCATATACAATTTTTAAAACTTTCATCCAACTGGCCAACATAGCCATCATGTCATTCTCATAATTGTTAAGACATTTATATTTGACATTTAGAAAAATTCACATGTACCCTTATAGGGTATATGGAGAATTAAATGAAGAGCTCCTCACAGCAAATAGAATTTTGAGTTTAGTTTCTAAGGAGATGATTTTACCTGGAACAGAAATTAAAATGTGTTTCTCCTATATAACACTAGGTATATATGAATGTTGATGATTAGAAGCTCTACAATAATACAAATATTAACTATATACTAAATGACTATTACATTCTAGGAACTTTACCAACATTATTTCTTTTAATTCAACCACCTATAAAGTTAGTATAATTTCCATTTTGTATTACAGAATAATTCTACTAAGAAATGTTATATCCTTGTTAGTATAGAGGTAAAAAAAAGTTAACAATTCTCTCAGATCATATAATAAGAGAATTAGTACTCTATTTTATTTTTTTGAGACAGAGTCCCACTTTGTCACCCTTGGTAAATTCCCATGGTCTCCTAGCTCACAGCAACCTCAAACTCTTGGGCTCAAGTAATCCTCTTGCCTCAGTTTTTCATTTTTAGTAGAGATGAGGTCTCATTCTTGCTCAGGCTGGTCTTGAATTCCTGACCAGAAGCAATCCACTCACTTCAGCCTCCCAGAGCGCTAGGATTTACAGGCATGAGCCACCGCACCTAGTAAGAACTAGTACTCTAAATGTAGATTACCTTACTACATAGAACATGTACCTCACCCACTTAACTGTTTGTTTTTCTGTATTTTAAAGAGATAATGTTTAAAAGTTGATTTTTTTCCATTTATCAAACACTTATATAGTGTTTACATCACAATCATCCTATGAGATACATTTTATTATTATCTTTATTTTACAGATGAATATACTGAGGCAAGGATAGGGTAAGCAACTTATTTGACATAGCTACAGAGTGGCATAGTCAGGATTTGAACCCAGGTAGTCTTTCTCCAGTATTTGTGTTTTTTACCACTACTATGCAGCCTTCCTAGTCATATCCTTTTTATTGTACCATATTGCCTCATAAAAATAGTTTCAGCAGTGATTCTGAAAGAAATTGAGCTTTCATTCACTTTTCTAATAGTCAGATGTCTTACCTATTACAACTAATTAACAAATGTACTCGAACACTAACAATACCTCCCCTGAATATTCACAAACCTATCCCACAAGAAATATTGGAGAAATTGAGATATACCACCATTCCTATTATACAAAGGACCCAGAAGCTACAAAAAAAATCCAGGCAGCGAAAAACTAAACTTGCCTAAAGTATGTATTTATCTGTGCCTTTTTACTCCAGTCTTTTGCAAAGCTTACAATATTTACTGTCCTTGAAACTTCTAGCTTCAACTTTTCCCTTTAAATTTACCAACACTTAAGACATTTTATTAAAGTAATAACTTATTCTCCTCTTTCTTGATTAATTTTATCAATTTTGAATTTTGTCTTTCTGCCTCCCAGATTTGCTCTAGCAGGACTTCTGGGGAAACTTTGAAACAAGTTTATTAAAGATATTGTGGTTATAAAGAAAACATAATTTTAAAAAGTAAATTATAAATTCTAAGTAATTTCGGTATGAATAGTATTACTCTGCTCTTCAATTAGAATCAAATTTCAATACTCAAGTAAAAACAAAGGATTACATAACTATTAATTAGTATTCCATAACTCATCCTGTCCTTCTTCATCAACCAAATGGATAAGAAATAGAATTAGACAAAGAAAATAAAATTATAGTACATCAAATCAAAGAAATGTTCCATAGCTTTGTTATAATTATGAAGATTATCTTAAAATAAAGAAAAATATGTGTGATAAAGTGCTAGATAAAGAAAGTATAAATGGAATACATGGTGTGATTATTTAAAAGATACCTATATATATGAAAAATGATTTAACACACACAATACTACATACCTGGCACACGAGAAATCATCTGACATAAGTTAACACTTAAAGCAGCAGCCCTTTGTAACAGGTAGCCCCAGGAATGCATCTGAATCTCATATCCTAGCAGAATATCAGGATCATACCTAAAGAAGCAATGAAAAAAATTAAACATGTACCAGATGTCTAAACCTTTAACCAGAGGAACTGTTTCTTCATGATAGAAAGTAAAAAAATAAATATTATATTCTTTAATTGTTCTCAGATGGGGGAAGGGATGATACAGTAGCACCTATAGAATTTTCAGAGAAAGGGATGGGTGGTAAGAATACTTGATTCTTTTAAATTTAATTTTCTTAAGTTTATATTTAAGTTTTTTGAGATAGGGTCTTCCTCTGTTGTCTGGACTAGAGTGCAGTGGTGTCATCATAGCTCACTGCAACCTGAAACTCCTAAGCTCAAGTGATCCTCCTGCCTCATCCTCCTACGTAGCTGGGTCTACAGGTGCATGCCCCCACGCTTGGCCAATTTTTTGACTTTCTTTTGGTAGAGACAAGTTCTTGCTGTGTTGCCTATGCTGGTCTCAAACTCCTGGGATTAAGAGATCCACCCAGGTTGGCTTCCCAAAGTCCTGAGAATACTTCATTTGAAGTTACTTTTGTAAAGTGGGTATAGTTTTTACTTAGACTGTGTATTTGTTTGTTATAACTTGAGAAAGGCTGATGGAAACTGGGAGGAAGAGCAAGTCATTGCCAGTGAAATGGGTAATGCAAGGTGAAGTATAAGGGTATGTGTAGGTGTGGAATTTTGAAAAAGATCCTCCAGGTCATTCTACCTTTCTAATCTATACTGTCCTTAACTTTCCCAGTTTTAATACTAGGAAAGAAAATGAAAATACCTTTTTTTCTCACTTAATTTTAGTTAAGACTTAGTCTTTATGTGAAATAAGGCCTAAACAGTAACAAGTCTGTCCTCTAAACTTAAGACAAAGGTTATTTGGCTTAATGGAAGAATGAAATATTAGTAGAAGTGAAATTAATTTAGGGAAGGTAAGGATCACAATTTAGGAGAAAAATTTGTTTATTGTGGTCACAGAGATGTGCTAGTAAAATTGAACTGACAACTTGCATCCAAATCCAAAGGAGCCTCTTTGTGGTTCCTTTTAGGACCTCCATGTTATAACCACCATGGAGGAATGTGTGATTATAGTATGCACATAGCTTAAGGGAAAGTAAAAATGAAGATTTACTTCAAAGGGAAAACTGTATGGGGCAGGGAGAGAGAAACTGAGTACAGTCTTAAGTTTTGAGAACAAAAACAACAATAGCTCCATCAATGAGAAGTTCTAAATTACTCTGATTATTACAATCTTTATAAAAGCCAAAAGGTAGCACTTGTGGCTCAGAGGAGTAGGGTGCTAGCCCCATATACCAGAGGTGGTGGGTTCAAACCCAGCCCCAGCCAAAAAAAAAAAAAAAGCAAAAAGGTACAATGAAATACTACCAAATTTAATAAGCTGGGTTTTACATTCATAAAATCTCTCTGAATTGTGGAACATGCAGCCTGCCCAGATTATATCATTTAATACCCTTAGCTTCAGCCAAGGTAGATTACACTAACTTACTGATATACCCTATCACGACTATTCTGCAAATCTATGGTAAAATAGTGTATCATGAGTAGGTTACAAGATCTTTTAGAATTGAAATGCTAATATTTTATCATACTTCCATAGCTACTTTCTTAAAGTGAGTGTTGAAAGGCTTCAGCTTTTATTTAGTCAATAAAAATTAGACTATCACAAGAGTATTTTCTGATTTTTAATCCTGGAGCATAAGTGGCTGATGTCAAAAGAACTAAGTTCAAACTTTTCTGACAGCATCCTTTTAATTTTTCTTATTCTCTAAAGGCCCTAAGAAAGTATACTCTATAATATAAATTTTAATAGTTGGTGATCTGCTCATGTTCCGTTGTTATACTACAGATCTGAAGAGCAGCCTTCAAACTTGTTAAGAGAAAAAGGTAACAGACATATTATCCATGTATTTTTCTCTATACAAATAGGGTTACAGTTTCTAAGAAAATGGGTTAACTTAATAAGCAGTTATTAAGAGGCTTGAGGGACCTCTTCACCAACCTAGAAAAAAGTGTCTTCTTGGGAGAGAGTGACACAGAACTGGTAATTCTGGAACAAAGAGTGGTATTGTGGTGTGTAAGCATGGAAAAGCAAGAGAAAGCAAAGCAATGAGCAATAATGAGGTAGATATCCAGAAAGCAAGTCCACCAAGATCTCAGAGCACCCAAAGAAACAGAAGTACCTCAACATCCTTATTGTTACTTACTCTTCCAATATACGTAACACTCAAAACCTTACCACATCTTTGTGGATAACAACTTCATCTCTTCCAATAAAGATAAACTTTTTTTTTTTTTTTTTGAGACAGAGTCTTACTATGTCGCCCTCAATAGAGTGCTATGGTGTCACAGCTCACAGGAACCTCAAACTCTTAGGCTTTAGCAATTCTCTTGCCTCAGCCTCCCAAGTAGCAGGGACTACAGGCATCCACACCACAACACCTGGCTATTGTTGTTGTTGCTGCTGCAGTTGTCATTGTTAATTTTAGCCGGCCCAGGATGGGTTTGAACCTGCCAGCCTTGGTGTATGTGGCTGGCACCCTACCCACTGAGCTACAGGCACTGCCAAAGTAAACTCTTTTTAGAGCAGTTGATGATGGACTATCTACTGTTCCAATACATAGAAACTGGGACAGAAGTATCAAGTGGCTCTAAGGATCATCAGTAATCAGAGAACTTAAAGATTCCAAGATACCCACAGACAAACCTGCTTGAGAGCTTAGTACTAAGAGTGACTCAAAACAGGCATTAAAATGTGGGCATAGTTATTTTAACATTAAAAGAAGAATTTGGACGATTTCTGGAGCTTTTATCACATACATTTCTAAACACAATTATAAGAAGAGGATTCCAGATAATTACAGAGCTCTTCTGTTATTACTTATTTCTTTATTGTCAGATGAATATGTCAATGTTTTAACAAGGTTTGAGGGAGGCACATTTCACACATGAATGTTAAAACCCAATCTGATGATTTATGAACCATGAAAGGATCTGTTATAGCTCTTATAAAGACAATTCTTCTAATTTTTTCATCTGAATCTTTTTCATTCAATCAACATCTTATTCCTACAAGAATTCCAGGCAGCTATTTGTTCTGGTATGGCAACTGACTGATTGACTAAGTATACCCATTTTTTGATAATTTTTAGAAAATAATTTTGTCTCAATAAAAAAGTGTCTTATTTTTAGGTGTATAAACTGGTACTGCTCAGAAAAGACTGCTGGCAAAAACAACAACAACAACAACAGGTTACCCTGTGTTGCTCTTAATAGATTTACTTCACAGATTTTGTTCCTTTAGAAGAACTACATAGTTGCTTCAATATTTTTCAGATATATTACATATATTTTATTTTTTGATCTGGAGGACAATTGATGACAATTAATGACATGGTGGGGCATGGGGAGAGGGGAGG